AGTTCTGTAAGGTAGGACATGGGTCCCTGATCTTCCTCCTCCACTCAAAACTTGGTGCTGACCCACGCTCCCTGATGGGGCTTCCTGATAAACCCAACGTGAGAATATCCTTGTCATATTGTGGGTGGCTGCCTGCCTGACAGGAGCACAAAAGACTTGCAGGATGGGACAAGGTGCGGAGAAGGTATGTGTGTGTTCTAAGCTCCAGATTCCGATCTGGAATAAGGATCCAGGAATGAGGAGGTCAGGTCTGCCCTGGGATCTCTCCCAGGAGCTGACATATGGTGAGGAGCTCAGGGGCACATGTGGTGAAGGGCAGGAACATTATTCAGCAGTTAGCAAGAGAGGAGCAAATCAGCAATGGAAAGCCCTGGACTATTAATAAGGTCAGGCCAGATTTTTGTCTTAGAATGTGCTCAAAGTCGGCTGGGCACAGTGGCTCATGCCTGTAATCCCAGCACTTTGGGAGTCCAAGGTGGGCAGTTCACAAGGTCAGGAGATCAAGACCATCCTGGCCAACCCGGTAAAACCCTGTCTCTACTAAAAATACAGAAATTAGCCAGGCGTGGGAGCCTGTAGTCCCAGCTACTCCGGAGGCTGAGGCAGGAGAATTGTTTGAACCCGGGAGGTAGAGGCTGCTGTGAGCTGAGATTGTGCCACTGCACTCCAGCCTGGGCAACAGAGCGAGGCTCTGTCTCAAAACAAAACAAAACAAAAAGAATGTGCTCAAAGTCCACTTGGGGCTCTGTAGACAGCAAATTGCATTTCCGCACTTCCACTCAGCAGTCTTACAGCTGAAATGCTGGATTCCAACAGAAAGACTTTCTGGAAGCTAGGGAAATCAGTTAGGGTGTTAATTAGACTTTCTTTGGTGGCAACTTTGAGCACTTTCACTTTCCATCTCCCACACGCAGCAAATGCTGTAATGCTCTGGCTTAGATGGTAAACAGGAACCGCAGAAATGTTTCTTGTCAAGCCTACTGTTCATGGCGGCCCTCCTTAATATCTGCATTTCTACATGGCTTTGTTGTCCTATTGGCCCTGACATTTTAAATTTTTTATTTTATTTTTAATTTTTTGTGGCTGCTAACTCACACATGGCCCTGAGTTCTGATAACGAAATTTCCTCCACCAAGCACTCATTCTTAGGTTCTCATCAAATCCAGCTCAGATAGCTCTTCCAGGAGCACACTCTCCTAAAAATAGAAACAGAAAGACCACAGAGGTCTACGCCCTCAGGCTCTAGTGATAGGCAATTTTACCAAAAGGAGAATTGATTCCAAAGGATGCAAATCAATGCTAACCCTAATGGCTCAAGCTGGTGGGATGTCACGCTCATTTATAGACGACATGTACAAATAAACATATGAAATCACCTTGGTTGGCAAAAAAGAAATAGTGCTATACAAACAAATGTAAGTGCAAGATATGATGATGACGTAAATCTCCTATCGTCTAGAATGGGAGCTCTGCTTTAAGAGGAAGGGAAAGAATGAAGCAAGAGAATTCAGGATGAGTTCTCTCCAAAGATGCAAATACTTCACGTCGCTTTGTCCACTGGATGCAGGCTAGGAGACGATTAAACAAGAGGAGAAAATGCAGATGACAGCACAAAGTGATTTTCTTCTATACTTAGCACTGGTCTGACCTTCACCATAAAGTGATATTAGAGGATCTGGCCTGTGTCCAGAGGACAGTGGTCATAAGATCTAAAAGAGATAGAAGGGGAAAAAAAGGCTTGAACTTGTTCAAAGTAAAACAAGAAGACAATGAGTATTGGGCCAAAATGGTCCAGGTTAAGCTGTATTTGGTGACGAGTTCACATTCTCTCCTCAACTAGTAATCTTATTTTCAAATTCATCTTAAGTAACATTTAATATTCAATCTTACTAATTTTCAGGGTGGGAGGGTGATACTGAGAATGGTGATCAAACTTCTTAGGACTGTAGACATTTTATCTTATGTTTATTATATCCAAATAGCTTAAAAATGAATGCAAATAAGAAACAGGGGAGGCTTTATGAGACTGCAGATTCTTGTGCTTCACAGGCTAATGGGCAGAATACCACTGGGAAAACCTGAAGGATTTATTGCCATAGCAAAACAAAGGCAGGCAATATTTGGCAGAAAGGCTTAGACCTCTTATTTCAGAGAAATACTCTGCCATAGTATTTCTCTGAAATAAGAGGTCTAAGCCATTCTGTGTTTGTTATAGGTAGAAAGGGACACAGAAGGGGAACAACTAATGTTGAAACACAGCTGCTGGAGGAGCCCACAGCACTTTTCTTCCTCTCAGACCACTGCACTTGGAAGTCTGCACCTGCACATGGCCATGTATCCCCCAGGGCAGGCAGGGTGACCGGTAGAGTGCCAGAGGCAGGAGACAGGTTTTCATCCAAGCTCTCACACCACGAGGCTGAATGACCATGGACACCTTCCTTGATTTCTTTGGCCTACATTGGATTTGTAAAATGAGAAGACTGGACTAAATCAAATGGCTTCTCATCTCATGCCTAGTACAAGTCAAATTCATTACAACTGTCCACAAGGCCCTACCATCTAGCTCCTCAAAACCTCTCTGACTCATCTCTCCCCCTCCTTTAAGCTTCTGTACTGTTTCTGGAATACATCAGGCCCATTCTCACCTCAGGGCCTTTGCAGCCACTTGCCCTCTGTCTGGAAAGTTCTTCCCCCAGGATATCTACGTCTAGCTTCCTCACATTACTCAGGTGAGTCTGATATCAATCACATGCTCAGTGAGGATTCACTCACAATTGCAACCACAATTACCTGCCTTCACCCTCTCACTCCCTGCAACAATCCTTGTTTCCCTCTTCAGCTTGAAAATATTTTTTTCTACTTAGCACTCAGCTCTCCACTTATTATATATTTTTACTTATTTATTTTGTTGATGTTTGTCACCCCACCTAGAATATCCGCTATCCAATAGCAGGGATTTCTATCTGCTTTGTTTACTGCTATAGCCTCAGTATCTGGAAGGTGCCTGGGACATAATTCAATAAGTATTTGCTGAATACATATGTCCATGGATGGCTGGGAGGGAGGGAAAGAGGATTACAGACCTTTACATTGTCTTCGGTCTGGGGTCTGTGGGCTGTGGTGCTTACGGTCAGGGGGCTCTCTCTGCCACTAGGATGGACTCTGTAACCTCATGACAAAACAAGCTGGCCTAAGTGAAATATAAAGGGCCCAGGGCCAGACGCGGTATGCTTTCACTCCAGTGCAGAACCTCGCAAGCGCTGCTTCCTGCTCGCTCCATATCTTAAGATGATGGGCATGTACACCCAGCACTCTCAGCAGTCATACCCTGGACTCCAGATGTTGTTTATGAGAAATTCCTTATATTAGCATTCAGCTCCACATTTCCAGAATCTAAATTAATGTCATCTAGGGAAAGCATAGTTAAACCCACCTTGTCTGATTCTTCATTTAAAATCCCCAGGTAACAGGGAAGTAAGTTTCCCTATTGCCAAAATATCACACTTGAGTTTATCCTGAAGTGGGAAAAAGTACTGATGCTCCCACAGGCATTTCAGCCAGTTCCACTAGATGGCAACATGGTCAGGATGTGCTGATATCCAAGAGTGAAATTTACCAGGAACAGAGTAGACAAGCTCCTACATGCCACTCTACCGCTACGGTTCTTAGCTTGGCATGCACAACCTTGCCTCTCCTTCACTTCAAGTCTGGCTATATTCAACCACTAATTTACAGTTCGTTCTCAAATGGCTCATGCTTACCCTTGAATGCTTATGACTTAATCACTCCAGCCTTGGAAGCCTTATGTACACATCTTTCTGCCAAAGTACGCTGCTTACCCTCCCTTTGGAATTCTATCCAAAACTCACGTCTTCCACAAAACCCTCCCAAGTAAAGCTGGCTCTGTTCTCAACTGTATATATGCAATGACATACAGCCACAGACACATAACCATTTTTATATATGGCTAGAATGTGTGTGTATATGTATATACACACACACACATACATATATGACGGGATCACATGCACACCTCTAGGCATCTAGTAGACAAATATACATTGACTACAAATGATATATAAGTGACCACATTCCATACAAGAGAAGCCAAGATTCTACGAAATAATATTTATTGGCTGCCAAGGGTTCAATAATGGACCAAAAGACTAGATATACCAACACCCACCTATGTCTTCCAAATTCTAGTTTTTTCCTAGTATCAAATTTAAGTTCCAGAAAATCTGTTGAGCAGAAAAATTTTAAGTAAACTTAAGCAAATATTATACATCAAATTGCAAAAAAGTATATAAACACCAATATAACTTTAAGGGCTATTTAAAACACTGTATTCCAATCCTTGGCAACTTTTTCAATTTACTTTAAAAATAAAATTAAGTCTACTGTGGAAGCATTAAGCATGGCTAAAAACAAACCTAAGGTGTTATTTTAAAAGTACAAAATGCTTTATATATAAGGTAAAATTTTTTTTGGTTGTTAGCGAAAATGGCAACAGCAATACTCAAACAATTACCCAATGAGAGAATAGAAATAAACACCCTCGCGTTTACGGATTGTTCCATGTTGTTACCACTGCTGCCAGACCACCGGGAACCAGAGGTGTCCTATAGTTAATAAACACATAAAAAATGTAAAAGAGAAATTCTGGGTGAAAAAGCCATCCAACCTTTTCAGAGTCCCATCTCTGAAACATTTCAAACCTTCGTCTATTTATAAATGAAACTGTCTACGTGAGAACTTCAGATGCCATTTTTTCCACCTACAATACTTACACCTCCCTCAGCTTAACACTGGTTCCCCACACCCAGAGCCATAGCAAAACAAAATAAAACAAAAGTGATGTGTTGAACACAGTAACTCTAAAGCCACAAACAAACATTATTCCTTGAAGACAGCAATACCATGCTAGTCATCTGAACATTTTACCAGATTTCAACGAAGACATTACATTCAAACATATTCTGAGGGCAGTTTTAACTCACCTAGTTTCAGCATATTCTCCCTGTATACAATTAGAAGGACAACTTCACAGTATCTTGGTAGAGTCATACAGACTTGAGGAACGCACGCAAACACCCTGTTGACGTGTGCACTACGGCGCCTGCATCACCTTCGGGGAGACTCAGTCCTTCTCAAGAAGAATTCAAAATAATTTCTACTATCCTTTTGAAAAATCTACCTTAAGCTTAACACATAAATGCACAGAAGGCACTGGTCAACAACAGTCACTTTGAAAAGTTGTCTTGCTTGTTATTCTGGGAGCTGGGTTTCGTCACTTGTAGTGGAATGCATTATGTAGCCTTTAATTGTAAGTCCAGAGAGGTCTCCACATTCACAACAGGGATGGACTCGTTGCTGCCTGCACTTGCTCCCTGTAAACTACAGCTACACAGAAACTCAAGATTACCTGTGACAAGCAAACAGGAGTATATTCAAAATCAAGCAGAAACAGGAAGTCTAATGTTTCAACATGCTAGAAAATAGAAACAGATACTTAAAAAACAAAAAGAGGGAGAGGCCTCATTCACAGATGCCTGAAGAAAAGAAAATTTTAAAAACACCTCATTCCTACCTGTATAAACATGAACGTCTATTAAGTATTGCTCAGAGGTGTTTCTGTTCTCAGGAGAACTAGAGAACACAGTTTGGACAACGTTGCTACTTAAAGTCATTAGCCTTTTGCTTTGGAAGAGTATAGAAGGTTTTCATAATGAATATAACTGTGAGTGTATCCAGGCACACACTATACACACATGTACACATACACATACATGCATATATATAATCTAATAGTTTCTTTATGAGCCTGTTTATTTACCTGGGCATCTGGCAGTCACTGCCACCCACAAATCTTTCCTTATCCACCCCACAAGATTCTGCCAGTCCTATGAGGCCCACCTCAAGTGCACCACCTCTAAGAAGACTTTTCCTGGGTGACCCCAGTTAGGTGTGTATGATCTCAACCTCTTCCCTTAGCCCCTACTGCACCTCAGTTGACCTTTCTTGATAACACTTTTTTGGTATCTATCACAGCTGTCCTTGTATTATCTTTGGTTGTTTATCTTACTCTCCCAACATGGTAAGCTTCTTGATTTTATTTCTATACTCTGTAGCAATAACACTCCACCTTGAATCTACCAGGCACCTGGCAAAAAACGTGGAAGGTAATGGACACACTCTTCAAGGCCTGGCTCAGAGTCTATGTAGACCACTTTCCGGTTTTGCAGACGTGCAAGTTATTTAACACCGCTGAGCAATTTTGCACTTCTGTAAGATGAGAATCACATCATCAACGTCACAGAATTGCTAGTAAGATTTAAAGAGAACCACGTGAAGCAAATAACATATTGCTTGATGCACACAGAGTTCTCAAGCAGTAATGAGCATTATTACTGACCTAAATTAAAATCAAGTGCCAAATACTAATGTGGGAAGGAGGTCAAAAGAGATACCAAAACAACATCAATTTACAAACATATCTATATGTTTCCTGTTTTCTTTGGCCTACATTAATCATGTGACTAATTCATAGAGATATGATGTTTATACCAGTTTATACCTTAGAAACAATATTTTTGTGTTCTTTTGTGTTAACCCCCCAAATTCTGACTGGACTTCCAAGCCATGAAAACTTCAACAGGGACTAAGGGTCAAAGAAGGCGTCAAGAGAAAACTCTTCCTGGAAGTGCAGGACTCTAAATCACAAGAACTTCCCAGGCCGTGATTCACTGGCAATTCCAAGGGTAAGTTACAAAGAGCAGAAATGCTGCATCTAAACAGAGGAACAGGCCCCTCACATTTCCCTAAAATGTGACCTCAGTGGTGGCTGCTTGGCTAGGTGGTCACCAGGAACCACTCTTTCCATTTCTGCTGGGGGAGGATGGGGCAGTGCAGTGAAGCCGGGGGAAGAGAAGGCTGGAGAAAGAATCCTGCAGTCCTATGTGAAAACAACTCCCACCATCACAGCAGGGCCCTTACACACACTCCAGGCCCAGTCAGGGAGGTACCAGCAAGGTCCCGACACCAGGCAAGGGCAGAGGAGGCTACACATGGTAGCCTCAGGTATCCAGTGGGCACCTCCACGCCCAGCAGGAAATAACTGATTTTGGAGAGAGTTCTCCAAAAATAGGAGAATAAAAAGCAAAGCATCTGCATAGGCATTTCCCTAAGACACTACTCTTCTCTCACTTGAGACTAGAATGCCCAGGTTGTCCTTGGATCTATTCAAAGTGTGCTGTTTAAACCAGTACCAGCAGTTAGCATTCTGCTTATCCTATTATATTTGGGAAGAAAGAAGAGTTGCAGACAGAGGCTAAAGAGCAGGGAGACTCTCGAGTAAATATTTGTGAAGCAGTCAAACCTTATAGAATAGCCTTATGTTTAAAAAAAAAAGTTAATCTCTACAAAGATGCCTTTGTAGACATGACTATGCACAGAACTTCCATGCTTCCCTAGGACTTGTGAATTAAGACATTCTAGGTAGGCTCAGGGATCAACACTGTGATGGTCACCCAATATGGATGCATCACCCATGCTTCAAGGCAAGGCAGAGAGAGCAGACAGCTGAGAATTCCAGCCCTAGGAGCCCTGCCTGGTGGCCTCTAGTGGCTGAAGAATCTGTCCAGACCCAAATTTGTAAAGGCAATCTGCGCTCAGGAATACACGTGGCTCTTGGCCTTTTTGTTGGTGAGTGGAGCTCTGCAGCAGAAGCACAGGGCTAATCTGCACCCCAACTCCTAATCCACAGCCCCTGAGAGCACAACTGACACTGTCAGTCATGGGGGCACTCTGGAGTGTCACAGTAATACCAAATGAGCTGTCATGAGGGAAGTCTGGGGCTGTCTTATCTGGTATTCTTCTCTATCTCTCTGCAAACACACGATGGTGGCCATGAGAAAACCAGATCCTTCTCCTCCGTGTGTGTGTGCTCCGGGTTATCTTGGCATCTCAGAGCAAGAGACTATCACTTAAATCATTTCACTCCCTGCACGCTCAGCGAAAGTGGGTGGCAATCCCAGTTTCCAAAGCGAGTGGCAGAGCAGAGAGGTTAAGCAGCATATTCAACAGGGCCCTGCACAATAGGGCAGGGCTGAGAGGAGAGGCCATGAGGCCTAACCCCTGCCCTACCAGTACAATCTCTAGACACACACGCTCTCACTGGCCTAGTTTCATCAACTGCTTATCACATACCCCAAGAAAAATATTTCCTTCACAGCTACCCACATCCTTATCAGTAGCACATTCAACAAAATCATCACAAGAGTGAGACATTTGTGCCTGCATAAAAAAGATATTTTCATTTGTTTATTTCATCTAATTCTACAGCCTCAGACAAAACTGGAAATGTCTACAAAACACCTTGACCTTTATGCTTTGGCATTCCCAGGATACTTCCTAATCCCTAGTGCTTAATGCCATGACTGCCAAGATTAATTTCATTTTCTTACTGTTCAACCTTTCTCTCTTCCCATCAGTTCTCTACGTACGCTCCTGACATGCTGAATCGCACCCATACCAACTCTTCAATGGCCTCCCTACACCACGGCCCTAATCAGAGCTTCCCCCTCCTCTATTCAACTTATTCCTCTCTGTCTCTCTCCTCTTCTTCGAAGAGGAAGGAATCATTGATGAAGCATGAAGAAGGCAGGCTGAGAAGGAATTATTGCAGGAGACCCAGTGCCTGAGACAAACAATGTGCTCAGAAGCGTTTTCCAGATGTTCTAACAGAGATGGTGGACGGTCAGACCGAACTTCTCACATAAAGGAGGCCTTGCACGGCACAGGATTTCCCCAACCTTGTCTAGACATGGCCTTGCATGGTCCGTGTCTAGACAAGGTTGGGAAAATCCTGCTGCTAAGCACCTGCAAATGTCCACAGTGTGCATGATGCTCTCACTGTGGTCCACTCAGTCCTCGCCAAAACCCTGGGAACTGGGCATCGTTATCCTCAGGTTACAGGTGTGGAAACCCAGCTCCATAAAGGTAACATCTGTGCAGCAGAATGCTGGAATATGAGCCTATATCTGCTGGCTTTTTTGTCTTTGTATCATATCACAAAAACATCCATGATTCACCAGGCAAAAAGCACAAAGAGCAGACCACATGGAAAATAGGAATAATAGCTTTAGGTTTAATAGAAACGCAAAATAACTCCCAAGGCCAGGTAGAGTGGTGAGTTAAGCAGTGTGAACAACTGCCGCTGAGGGCCAGCACTGGGGCAGAGATTGCTCACGTCTGTCATCACCACAGCTGCCATTCAGGCTGCCCACCCAAATGCGTTGCACAAAAGGTAAGCGTGGGAAGGTACGCCTTTCTATCGTGTAGTACTTGTTTCTATGTTTTAAGTATAAATTGTATAAAAAATGTTATTGTTAGAAGCAAAAAGAAAAGAAGACTGTCTTCTAATTTCTCTTAGAATCACATAACTTGGGTGTTGGCAAGACCGCTGATACCATCTAACCTCATTTCACAAGCAAGGAAAACAAGGCCATCCAAGGAGACGGAAAGGCTTGCCCAGAATCCCACCACTATCTATGAGCAGCACAGCTGTGGCACTTGCTGGGCCCTAGGCGTGCAGAATGAGCATCTACGTCTGTCTTCCTATGATTCATGCTCAAGTCTCCCTTCACACCTACACTACCAATGAAAACACAGAATCAGCATTTAGAAAGCAAAGAAACACTGAGTGCTGGCTGCAATAAATATGCTGGCACTTAAATGTGGTTTATTCTCTACTGAACTGAATATAAACAGAGGCCTGACATTTTATAGCATCATTCCATTCCAAAACCTCACGTAAAACTGAACTTGATCCCTAGTAATAAAATACTAAACTAATTAAACTCTCAATTTGCCAAGAAAAACTATCCAATCGTAAGGTAAATTTCTAGAAATTCTGGTTAATAAGGCCATGTATATTTCCCAAGTTAAAGTTCTCATCTTCCCTCCATCACCAACCTATTATTTTTTTCTGTTTTAACCTCTCTGGCTCCCTTCACAACCTTGTCACTTGGTCATCACTGATTTCTCTCTTGGTTTGGGTGGTCACTTATTTACCACGTTCTGCTGTCTTCTCATCTGTGCCTCACCCATTCTCATTTCCATTTGCATTGTGTTAAACCTCCTTTTGTTTTTAAGGCAATAGAATGTGGTTTCTTGAAAAGACAATATTCCAGAGAATGCCAGCCAAGCACTTCTATTCCCCATTCCCTTTCTAGAAGACAGAGAGCTTTCTCATTATGTAGTGAGATATATCATGTGGCTATTTTCAAACCAAGTTTTTTTTGAAAAGTAAGTTTCAAAAACCTTTCCAGCCTGGGCAAGGTGGCTCATACCTGTAATCCCAGCACTTTGGGAGGCTGAGGTGGGCAGATCACTTGAGGCCAGGAGTTTGAGACCAACCTGGCCAACATGGTGAAACCCCATCTCTACTGAAAATAAAAAAATTAGCCAGAAGTAGTAGTGGATGCCTGTGGTTCCCAACTACTCGGGAGGCTGAGGCAGAAGAATTGCTTGAGCCCAGGAGGCGGAGATTGCAGTGAGTAGAGATTAAACCACTGCATTCCAGCCTGGGCAGCAGAGTGAGACTGTCTCAAAAAACAAAAACAAAACAACAACAACAAAACCTTTTCAATTTAGAGAGCAATCAGCACTATAACATGTCTTGAGTAATTTCCCTTTCATGTTTTCCCCTAAGAAAAGCACATCATTTTTGAATGTCTGTAGGAAAAATATGATGTGTCACCCAGTTCTGGGCCTCTTCCCATTTGTACCCTGAGTCCACATGTTCATGTGCTCCACAGTCAACACACATCCGCCCCCACTCTCCTCAGCCTAACAACATGAACAAATTTACCCAACAACAAGGCTGGTGGCAAATCCTTCCCAATGGGGGCCTGAGAACAGACATTTCCAGGAAACGACATCTCATCCCCTGGAAAAGAGTTGGAGCCCCATTTCCCCTTTCCACAAATGCAGTCCTTTTCTTACAAAGGAGGAAGAGGCCATGGGAGCTCGAGCCCCCATCCTGTGGTTTATACTTCTGTCTCCCCTTCCCTATCTTCTTGTCACCCAAGCCCCTTCAGGACAAAGGAGGGCACATGGGCTGGTTTAATCTGGAAGAGGCTTACTAATTCAGTAAAGGGATAGGTCAAAACTAAATTCATAAGTGTTCTTACTTCAAAACAGCTTCTGTTCTAGGGCTCCATATCTCATCTTCCCATCAGTCACTCAGACTAAAACCTCAGTGTCATCGTGGGTCCCACTCTCCCTCTTCCCCAGCTCCAAAATGCTCCTCTGCCTTCTCATTTCCAGCCCATCATCCCAACCCCCTTCAGGCTCATCCTCTAGCCGGAACTTCCTGCTCCTCTTACTTAGTTGTCCTCATGGTACATCTTCTTGAAGAACAGCCTGATCACCCTAACATTGCCATGTGTACCTAGAATTTAGTTTAAAAAGTACTTCTGTATCCTCACTCACCATGTCACCCTCTGATGAGGAGCATGCAATGCTTCCCTGCCGCTCAGGGCTCCGAGTCCATGAGTCAACACAGGACTTAAAGCAGTCCCCAGTCCTGCCCCCGCCGTGCTTCACTGTTTTGCCTCTGGGCCTCGGCTCACCCACTTTCTTCAGCCCCTCGGATCCTTTCCATCATCACCAGCTGCAAAACACTGCCAATCTCCCAAGGCTCCGCTCAGATGAACCCTTTCATGACACTGTAGCCAGTCACTGGCTCCCACTCCTGCATCTCTGTGATATTTGGACACTTACAGCATTTCCTACATTTTGCTCCAAGAGGTAGCCATGTTTTGCTCCAAGAGGTAACCATCACTATACACAGTTCATCAGCCCTACTACACCACACTCTTAGATGACAGGGAGATTTCTTCATTCATTCAGCATGAATGAATCCACCTCCATTTACCCAGTACCTACTGAATAGCAGACATTGACTTAGATGCTGGGGACATGGGAAATGAACCATATGGCGTTGCTTGTCTTACAAAACTGACCTCAATGGGAAAAAGAGGTGGCAGTCCAGTAAGCACATACGTAAATAAAGGACAGACTGTGAAAGGTGCTAGGGCAAAAATAAACAGGGGATTCTGATGGAGCCCACTCTAGCAGAAGTGGCATTGGAGGTATATGCTGAAAGCCACAGGAATAATGGTCTGGGCGGTAGAAAGAGCAAGTGCTACAGCCTGAGATAGGACAAGCCTGGCACGCTTCAGGGAAGGAGAGGCGAGGGGCTGCTCGGCTACAGTGACAGAAGCAAGGGGAGGAAAGGTGTGAGAAGCAGTTGGGAGTTTGCCAAAGGCCAGAATATGTAGACCATATAGGACATGGTAAGGAGTTTATGTTATATGGCGGGAATGTAAAATAGAACAAATGTCTGGAAGGCAAAGTGACAATAAAGATAAAAAACTTTAAAACTCCACAGGGCCTTTGAACCACTTACAGGAATACATCCAATGAAATAGAGACAAGTGTGGATAGCTGTGGTGCAAGGAAGCTGTGCAGGTTATAGCAATGACCCCATATGAAAACTTTTAGAGCCCTACTATCCACATGCAGACTGATTAAGTAAATTACGGCACATCCATATAACAGCATGTAATGCAATCTTTTATTATTATTATTTTTTATTTTAGAGACAGGCTTTCACTGTGTTGGCCAGGTTGGTCTTGAACTGCTGGCCTCAAGCAATCCTCCTGCCTCAGCCTCCCAAAGGGCTAGGATTACAGATGTGAGCCACTGCGCTGGTCAGTAATGCAATCTTTAAAACTGATCTTGCAGAGTATTAATAACATGAGAACTCTTCACAAAGGCTACAAAACAATATATAAAAGCAAAGAAATTATATTAAGCCATATATAATTTTTTTTTTTTTTTTTGAGACAGAGTTTCGCTCTTGTTACCCAGGCTGGAGTGCAATGGCGTGATCTCGGCTCACCGCACCCTCCACCTCCCGGGTTCAGGCAATTCTCCTGCCCCAGCCTCCTGAGTCGCTGGGATTACAGGCACGCGCCACCATGCCCAGCTAATTTTTTGTATTTTTAGTAGAGACGGGGTTTCACCATGTTGACCAGGATGGTCTCGATCTCTTGACCTCGTGATCCACCCTCCTCGGCCTCCCGAAGTGCTGGGATTACAGGCTTGAGCCACCGTGCCCGGCCAGCCATATATAATTTTTAAAGAGAAAACTATAAGCATACAGAAAAGAGCCTGAAATGATGATATTCATAACATATTTTTTTCTGGTTAATAACAATAAGGAGTACCTCTTTTTTTATTGATCAAATTGTAGTTGATAAATACACCACACAAACATGTAATACTGTTGTGATAAGGAAAAAAAGTTTCAAAAAGCCTGTGAGTTACAAAGCATAGCAGAGAGGATATCCTACGAAATTGTATAAACAAATAGAGGCTGCTAATCAGGAGACAGCTAGGGCAACCTTCTGTCTTTTCAGGGAATCTTCAAAGAGAAACTGAAAAACAAACCGTAAAAATGCCCTAGAGCTTGGGGCAGGAAGTGTGTCATTCCCTTCTTGCTTATCCCTGTGACTCAGCAGTGACTCCAGGCCCCTCTGATCCATGCATGAAGAAGTTAGAGATAGGAGTTCTGAGAGGATGGAGACTTAGAAACCTCACCCAGGAGCTCCCAGTCCCGAGGGGGAAGTTGAGAATATTGAACTTGGAACTTCTTTTTTTTTTTTTAGACATGCGGTCTTGCTCTGTGGCCCAGGCTGGAATGCAGTGGTGCAATCTCGGCTCACTGCAGCCTTTGCCTCTGG